GGCGGCGGCGGCGGCGGCGGCGGCGGCTGCGGGAAAGATGGTTGCTTGACCTACAGGGGGTGGGGGTGCGGGTGGGGGGAGACTGGCAGAGACCCACCGCGGCCAGAAAGGCGAACTGTCGCAAAGCTGCAGAGGGAAGGGACTGAAGAGACAGCCGCCACCCCTGCCTGCGTAGATCTGTTTGGAGTTGGGTGCACAGTCCCGGCCCCTGTCAGGCCCCAGAAGGACCTTGCAGAGCTGGAGAAACGACGGAGGAGGAGGAGGAGGGAGGCCACCAAGATGGTTAGGGGGTTGGAGGAGCACCGAAGGGGCGGGGGCTTTTCCGTTCAGAAGGGTTGGGTATGACAAGTTGAAAACACTCCGTGCGTCTGGGGTTAAATGTTTGTTTCTGTTACTCACAGGAAGTCACATGTTTCTCATGTAGCCAATGTTCCTTTAGCTGTAGGAAGCCCGGGAATTTTCTCCCTGATCTAGGAGTTGGATTGGGACGAAAGTGCCAAGGTGTATTAGCATTTTATGGCTCTCCTCCCGTCTTTGTTTTTGGTGTTCTGAAGAAGAAGAGTAGCCATAATCTCTCTCTCTTCTAGTCTTGTCTTTGTAGTGTAAGGATGTAGCCGATTATGCTCTGTTGTTATTTTCATCCCAGTTGCCCTTCCCCATGGTAGAATTTAGTAAAAACGTAATATTTTAATCACACCTGGACTCTGAGTCTGAATTATCTTACTCTGGCTCTGCTGGACTATCTTATCTCTGCTAAATACAATTTTTTCAATATCTCACTATCACCCAACAAGAAGAGAGACAGCCTCTCTGCCCCACTGCTGGACCTCCTGAGGGCACCTGGTATTTCTGGCCACTGTGTGACAGACAGAGTGTTGGACTGGAGGGGCCACTGGCCTGACCCAACACTGGCATCTCTTATGTTCTTATTTTCATGAGAGAGGTTTATGTTCTTATTGATCAAGACTAAGAACAGAAGAGCCCTGCTGGGTCAGACCAGGAAGGGTCCATCTAGTCCAGCCTCCCACTGGCCTGACCCAACACTGGCTTCTCTCTTATGTTCTTATGTCTGGGGCAAATGATGCTCTTGTCTTCTTGGTGCTTGTGGTGGTGGTGGGCAACAGTGGGAGGGGTACTGGAGTTCTGGCCCCTCTGCTGGACCTCCTGAGGGCACCTGGCATTTTTGGCCACTGTGTGACAGACAGAGTGTTGGACTGGATGGGCCACTGGCCTGACCCAACACTGGCTTCTCTCTTATGTTCTTATTTTCATGAGAGAGGTTTATGTTCTTATTGATCAAGACTAAGAACAGAAGAGCCGTGCTGGGTCAGTCCAGGGAGGGTCCCTCCAGTCCAGCCTCCCGTCTCACACAGGGGCCAGCCAGTCCCTCCGGTGGGCCAGCAACAGGGCAGAGAGGCCGAGGCCTTCCCCTAATAAGGACACCAGAAGAGCCCTGCTGGGT